TGCAAGTAATTAACTGTGACATCTATACTATAAGAGAAATTGTCTGTCTATCTGCCTGTCCAAAGATTGAGGCCAGATGCTTGCGGCTAGCCTCACCCAAATTGGCAGAGGGAATGGTCTGAGGTACAGGATAAACATAGGTTGGTCAGGGGTTTGCGTGCCACGGGTCACCTTCAGACCCGACAGGAAAAACAATTTAAACTTATTTTTTTCTAATTGAAACATACACCATTATTCGTTGATGTCGGGAAAATTAACATAAATTTCCTGTTATTTAAACTACGGACATTATCCCATAAAACAAAACTAATTAAATTCTGCCGCTCTCTCTCCCATAGAAAACTGAAGGCCAACCACATATTTTAAAGGGAAAACTATTACATTCTGTGTGTATGTCATTTATTTTTATAAAGACATTGCAACACTTCCTGTTATTATGCTATTAGTAAATTTGTAGTAAAATAAAAATACATTTATATAACAAAACTGTTAACAACAACTAATACTCAATATTCTATCCTTGTATACATATGAGCTTCATTCCTCAGTATTGTCTAAGGTGTCTTTTTTTTTTTTTTTTTTGTTTTTTTTTTTTGAGATATATACAAGAGTTGTTACTTCTTGTACAGCCACTAGTACGCGTAGCGTTTCGGGCAAGTCCTTAATCCTATGGTCCTTGGAATACGATTCCGTGCCGCGAAGAACGTGTTTTTTCATCCAAGTACACATTTTACTGTTGCGTTAAACAGAGGCTACAGTTAAGGAATTGCGCCCAGTAAATCCTCCCCGGCCAGGATACGAACCCATGACATAGCGCTCGCGGAACGCCCGGCGAGTTGTATTCTCCACTACACCACGGAGACTGTTAAACTGCTTCTTTTATGTGCTAGCCATATGCTGTATTGTGCCTATTAACTTTTGTTAAACTACCATTCAAGCTGTCATTGCAATCAATCTGAGCTACCTATGTGCTTTAATATACCTACAATTATCTCTCATCTTTTATTTTTTTCTTGCTATGTAACTTTTATCATTTTTATAAAATTTGCAAGTATTTACCTACTTAAAATTTTCTTAGATTAAGGACCTGCCCGAAACGCTGCCCGTACTAGTGGCTTTACAAGAATGTAATTACTATGCTATATATCCTCACAATACCAATGTACCTTCTTGTGTATATATAAATAAATAAATAAAATAAATTAATAAATAAATAAATATTGCCCGAATCGCTATGCGTACTAGTGGCTTTAGGTATTGTATGTACTAGCTCTATCTATAAAGCCAACAAACTTTGTAAAATCTCTTTATGTATGTACCTTTACCTAAATAAATATTATTATTATTATTATTATCTATAAGTCAATCAGAATGTTTGTAACTCTGCATCTATGTATGTTCTTTTCCTAAATAAAATATTATTATTACTATTATTATTATTATTATTTGTGAGGGGGTGAAGGAACGCCAGCATCCGCCCGACCACCGCCTGGATGCTGCCAGCGCTCACTGTGGTCTCCGCAAGCATCCGCCGACCACCGCCTGGATGCTGCCCGCGCTCACTGTGGTCTCCGCAAGCATCCGCCGACCACCGCTGGGATGCTGCCAGCGCTCACTGTGGTCTCCGCAAGCATCCGCCGACCACCGCCTGGATGCTGCCCGCGCTCACTGTGGTCTCCGCAAGCATCCGCCGACCACCGCCTGGATGCTGCCAGCGCTCACTGTGGTCTCCGCAAGCATCCGCCGACCACCGCCTGGATGCTGCCAGCGCTCACTGTGGTCTCCGCAAGCATCCGCCGACCACCGCCTGGATGCTGCCAGCGCTCACTGTGATCTCCAGCAGTCATCTTCCATGACAATTCCTCTCATAAATTTGTCATCCCCAGCAAACATTGATACATTGTGTGTCTCCGTGCATGTGCTTGTGCGTTCATGCTTGAAGTGCATACGTTTGTGAGTTTGCATGTTTTAACGTGTGTGTGTACTCACCTATTTCTGCTTGCGGGGGTTGAGCTTTGGCTCTTTGGTACCGCCTCTCAATTGTCAATAAACTGATGTACAGGTTCCTGAGCCTATACTGGGCTCTATCATATCTCCATTTGAAACTGTGTATGGAGTCAGCCTCCACCACACACACACATCGCGCGCGTGTGTGTGTATTCTCCTACTTGTGCTTGTAAGGGATGAACTTCAGCTCTTTGGTCCTGCCTCTCGGCAGTCGATCAACTGGTTCCTGAGCTTGTAGGGCTTATAATATCTACATCTGAAACCGTGAATGGAAGCAGCCTTCATCACATTACTTCCTAATGCACAAACCTGTAAGTTGACGTACAGCAAAAATAATCCTCCTTCTTCAAGCAACTTGAAAATAAATTTCACCAAACTCCCCAAACACCACTGCTGGTGGCATCTGTAAACTCCGCACTGCCAAGTGGACTCCCCCACAGCGGGTGAAGCCATACTGACCTTCCTCCACCTACTCAGTCGTTCACTGACCGCCAAGCGAGCCAGCAACCGTCGCTCTCGCCTCCATCATTGCTTCTTATCCACTATAAACATAATTAATTACGGCCACTAAGCATCACTGTAAATGACTAAGCACTCTCCTCACTGGACACAGGACTCTCGCGTTACCAGTGGAGTCCTGCAGGGTTCAGTTCTTGGACCTATACTGTTTCTGATATATGCAAACAATCACCCAGAGGATATAGAATCGTTCATCTCATTGTTTTCTGATAATGCAAAAATATGATGAGGTATAAAACTAAATAAAATAATAGTAGGATGCTACAAGATGACCTAGACAGACTGAATTAATGGTCCAACAAATGGCTACTAAAGTTCAACCCGAGTAAATGCAAGGATAGGAAACTAGGCGGTGGAAACAGGAGGGCCAGACACAGGGTACCGAATGGGATGTGAAGTACTTCATGAAACGGACAGATAAAGATCTAGAAGTTGATATCACACCAAACCTGTCTCCTGAAGCCCACATTAGGAGAATTTCGTCTGCGGGACACGCGAGGCTGGCTAACATCAGAACAGTCTTCAGGAACCTGTGTAAGGAATCATTCAGAACGTTTTATATCACATATGTCAGACCAATCCTGGAGTATGCGGTCCCAGCATGAAGCCCGTACCTTGACAAGTACAAGACGAAGCTGGAAAAAGTCCAAAGGTATGCCACTAG